CCCTTTTTATGAGATAGCCAATTAGAGGCAAATAAGAATAACCGATTATTTGCATGTCAAACTAAGCTTAGGTAGTTGTTGATAACCTTTAATAAGAGCTTACTAAAATCTCATATTGAATAAAGAAATTTTGACTTTGACTTTTCCCTACCAACTTTAGACATGGATAGTTAAAATTTAGAAACAGTTTTTTTGCCAGCGTCTGTTGCCGTTACATGGAAATATGTTGAGATTTCGTGGAACTTAAACCCAAAATGTTACTGACCCACCTTTGCATGTAAAAGAACGACCTTAAAACTCACCTTAACATCGAAAGCAACAGTTAACTGTCCCGATTAAAATAGCGTTCATATAATATTTACTGTCGCACATTATCACAGCGAATGGCTTCCTTCGCTGTCGCTTCGGCGTCGCTCGCGTTGCGAAAATAAAAAAAAAACACCATCGTTCAAACACAATGGCAAATTTTACTTTAATGGTTGTACACCCGTATAGCGCTTTAGTGCTAGTTCGTGTCGTGCATTTACCGTAATTACGTGAATATCGTTACAAGGTATTATTACTCGGGCTTCCGCTCTCTAGGTCCATTATAGGTGTGGGAGCTTTTGAAGGCTTTCGACAATGTTTGCACTACAATAAGGGGCCGGGCGCATTAAACGGCAGACGTGTTGTGTCCGAACGCTCGCGTTTTCATTGTGAACACTCGAACGACCTCAGTTCGAATCCTGATACTGACATCATTTAAATAATTAACCTATCGTTATCTCTACATAGTATAAAACAAAGTCCTCCCGCTGTCTGTCTATCCCTATGTATGCTTAGATCTTTAAACCTACGCAACGGATCTCGATGCGGCTTTTTTTTTTAACTAGATAGAGTTATTCAAGAGAAAAGTTTATATGCATAATACATTGCACCCGTGCGAACCCGGGTCGGGTCGCTAGTGTTTTATATAAGAGGATGGCTAGAAAGCTGGCAGTGCACCTCTTGTTAAGTGATTACCTTCGCCCATGGACATGTAGAACAACCATAGGGTTACCAATGCGTTGTGAACTTCTAATAAAGTGAGCCCCGGATACCTCAATCACCGGGCGAAACGCAGAAGTATAACACTTCCACTTGACACCGTTTTTCTTTGTGATCCTGTTACTGGATGGACCGGCCCAACAGCGTAAAGGAAAACAACGCTCGGTAATTCATACGTTAGCAAGTTTAACGACGTTATTGATGTTATAATATGAAATCTACATATTCACACTGGAGACTGGTTTTGGAATAAGTCTAACTTCCAGCGCCCAGTAAAACATGAAATTATCTTTAGCCCACCACCGTCAAACTTAATTAAGAGAGGTAGCCGTGTACGATATAAAACTTTATCTGTATTTATTTCATGCGCCCCTTCAACTTTTAACGGTCGATATACTTTATGCTCAGCGATAGCACCCGTGAGGCTTTATCGGTTAACAAGCCGCTAATTACTAAAGAGCCGCTCTCTGCCTAAGATACCGCGTGTCGGCCGCGCAAACTGCGCGAGAGATAACTTAATTATTACGTCGCCAGAGCCGAGCTTTCAGATAGTTGCGTCACGATTGAGTTGATATAGTGAACAACTTATCAACGCGGCGATTATTATTTTGCTGAGCCTAGTTCTGATCACTAGTGCTAGATAAATATCACCTAGTTATGATATTTATCAAGCACTGGGCAAAACCAATACAAGAGATACACCAACTTGTATTTTTCGTGGAATTTCCACGAGGCCGTCCTTGTGGAATTATTTGTCGCCAGTGATATTTCCGAACCATACGACTTTGGGACCTTGAAGAAGAGAGCCTACTCCTACCTCAAAGGCCAGCTACGCGTTTGTGGCTCTACTGGCTGCAGGTGTCCATGGATGGCCATAACTTACCATCATGACGATTTCCCAACATCTAAATTAAACACGTTGAAATTAGTAAACAAAAGCGTTTGTGAAAAAAATGTATTTCTATTTTAAATTTCCTTTCTTTCATGTGTTAATGTGCAGTCTCGTAGGTACATTTATTCCGTATAAACAATTTCATTTCGAAAAACGACGAAACGCCTCTGAACTGAATACAGTATTTATTTTAACAAAAATTTACTCTAGTCGTTTACACAATGTGGGCAATGGGATGGTTTGGGCAAGCAAAATATCAAATTACATCGGTTAAAGCAAACCCCGTGAGACAAAACTCTGTGTTCTGTTAATAATTTACGAAAACATATTTCATTAATTATCAATCCAAGCCCCGAATCGAGCACCCACGGCGTCTACGATAGTTTTTTTTTTATTCATTCTTTCTTTTTTAAAAACATTGCCCTTAGTGTTGGATAACATTATCCTGCGTTTTAGGACATTCAAATGGACAGGAAAACATAGATCAAAATTATTCGTGTGCTACACAAATACTTGCCCCGTATGGGAATCGAACCCACGACCACCGGTGCCGAAGCCAACACATTAGCAACTGCGCCATGGAGCTCTTATAATCCAAAAAAAAAAATAATTGGTCCCACCGCTTATCTATTTGCCTGCTGACAAATGCGCGCTGTCACTTCAGCTCCGACGTATTTCAGATAGCGCATGGCCGAGTTTATCGTGTCGTAAACGTTAAGCCCGTCGTATCGACTAATGGCTACCGTGGACAGATGCAAACAGAAATAATTTAATGCCCACAGTGACGGGAGATTACAACAGGCACACCGTTTTACACTATTCTGGCACACCATTTTAAAAGCGATTCGAGAAGGGACACATCTAAATGAGGAAAATGTGTAGTTGATGAGACGATTGTGTTCCATTCGGGTGTAATATTGACCCGGTATATCGACTTGTATAGATTATATTAAGTGAAATTACACGTAAAGTCGAAGCAGCCTTGAATACTTTTCAGCATTCGGTCACGGGACGTTGGACGTTAATGTCACGCGCTAGTAGGGTAGGCATAAATATAAGAAAAATTACAAATCTCTCGTCAATTGAACATTACAGACAGCAATTATGCTTTAAGCGATATGTCAAAATCAAAGTCATTTATTCATCGACATAAGAAGCATACTTACTTTTCATCTATCGGTAGTCGTTGTTTTTTAAAAGTAACACCGTTCCGTAATGAGGTTCCTCTAACGGAGAAGAAGGCGAAACATACTCCATTAGTATACTTTTTTGTATTTTTTTAATGAAAACATTAAAATATTAAAGATACATTTTTTTAGGAATAGCTTGGGAGTGATCAACTCATTCTCAGGGGCTGTTATGATCAATATACGAATATTCATTTATATTATAATAACCATTTTTATGAAGTTTTTAACCGATTTCAAAAAAGGAGGAGGTTTCTCTATTCGTACCGTATATATTTTTATTGTATTTTTTTATGTGTATTCGCGGAGAACTGCGTCTTTTTTGAACCGATTTTAATGATTGTTTTTTTTGTTGGAAAATAGATATACCAAGGGTGGTACCATAATAAGAAAACCCAGATCTGATGATGGCATCCCAGAGAAATCGAGGGCAATCCACAAATGTTATAGGTTTATGTTTGTTTCATTTTAGTTTCCGGTTTGAAGTCGGTTTTTTTTTTTTGTGATTCGTTAATAAATTTCTTAAACCTTTTAATAGGCAGGCTTTGATCTTTTTGTAATAGAAGTGTATACACCGTCCCATGAACGAGTTACTTTGGAGTATGTAACTGTATGTATTTAATATTGTTTTATTGCATCATATTTAAAATCTATTGCCGTGCTAATAAATAGTAGTGGAGGCACTACTATGTTGCGACATCGATGTAAATGTTTGTGATTCACACAAATAATACTACTTGAGCCGATCGAACTCCGAACAAATTATATTACAATACAAAGTTGAAGAGTCCAATTACACTGAGACCAATGCATTAGCCTTGCTGTGATGGAGGGTTTTGTTTTATCTTTTCTGCATTAGTTTGAGAACAGACAGAAGATAGTTACGTACAAAACAAATCGCAATAAGTCTAATTGATTACTATATGTGATGAAGGATATTAATTTTAATTGTGCTATTTCTCTGTACCCGAGATGAAATTTAATTATTTATTTTTTTTATTTAATTAAGAGCCGTGTTAGCTCGGTGTCCGGGCGCTCGCCTTTAATTCAATATACTTGAGGAACCTGAGTTCGATTCCCGGTGCCGGCACCAATGAAGTTTTTAACTTTAAGTGCTGTCTTATCACGTGCTCCGCGGTGAAGGAAAACATCGTGAGGAAACCTGCATATTTTCGAAATGATTACAAAAAATATATATATTTCGAAGATATGTGAAGTACGCCAACCCGCAGTGGAGCCGCGTGGTGGACTATGCCCTGATACCCTCGGTATAGAGGAGGCCTTTGCCCAGCAGTGGGATATGTATAGGCTGTTACTTTTACTTTTAATGTTATTTAATTTAGTTAAAGTACACATAAAATAAACATTTAACAAATGTGGCATGTAACGAAAGCGTTAAGTGTTTTATCCAGTTTTTATATTTTATAAGGCACGGCAAGTTATTATTCCCGCGATTTATTACACCAAAACAAGGTCGCTAATCACCTAGCCATTTGCATTTTTATGTATTCTAATTTCATTCGACTCATGGAACATACCGCTTGGCTTAGAAAGAGACGTGATTTCGTCGAATTTTTCATTTCGTCACCATAAAACACTTATCAGATTTACGACTCCGCGGCGGCTGAACATTCGAATTGGAAACGATTTTATTGCGCGTGTGTTATGAATCGGTAATCAATCTAAGTCACCCAGAATGGGCCGTTAAAGTCGTTTTTAATCATTAATGCTACTACAAAGAACGCCGTGAGGCTGCAGCGTAAATCATCGCGTGAATGATGGCGGTGGAAAAGGGCAATTAGTGTTGTGCCGGCAGCGCCGATAGTTTGGCGGATGTCGATAACATTCCACACGGTGCGACGTGACTGCACACCGAAATAAGACAACACTACCCAATGGACCGTTTACGGGACAATGCGCCGTATCCCGTAGAGTTAGAGCCGTTAACGGCAGCAACGGTGGCCGAGCCAGCTTGCTCAGACGTGAGCTCGATTAAAAAATGTGATTTGTGGTCGGCACTCCGCACGTGTTTTATTTTGCGAGTTGTGTACGTGACGGGCGAATGGAGAGCTTTCGGTTCAGAAACTCGCCAAAGGCCCGCCACGTAAAATAATCTAAATTGTTTGCGCTGTCGACGTTGTAAAACGCTCACGGTCCATTCTCACGCGCGACCCGAAATGACACCTCGATTAAATTATTCACGGCGAGGTTAAAGAAACATGTTTACGTTTACGCTTACCAGCAAGATAATGAATAAATCATATATAAGGTATAAATATTTTTCTAATATAATTAGAGGTTGGTTGAACAATTTTAATAGCTCCCACTGGAGAACTTTAATTCAAATCATAACAAATCAAAAATATATTTATTGAAAGAGACGCTTGCGCGTTCTTATGAATCGTCAAGTTTTACAAAAAAAAATATATAAATTATATAGGTTCGTAACTTACCACCGGATCAGAAAGCATTTTCTGTCGAGAAGAGACCGGCAAGAAACGCAACAGTTGCTCTTTTTCAAAAGTATCAGTTTATATTTATATATATCAATATAACATTTTTTTTTATGTGAAAAGTTGCCAAACGAGCAGACGGTTCACTTGATGGTAAGTGAATACCGCCGCACATGGACATCTGCCACACCCGAGGGTTACAGAGCCGTTGGCAACCTTTTGAAAATTGGGCTCCGGCTACCTCACTCACCAGACGAAACGCGAAAGCATTTGTCATACTTCCATTTTACGCTGGTCTTCTGTGAGGTCGTGGTACTTACCCGGACGGGCCTGCCCATTCGTGCAACAGTCGAGGCTGCTACGTAGCCCTACCACCGTAAACGTACAGGTATAATAGTGTTATTAATTTGACTTGACCGTTATTCGAAGCTTATTTAATAGAGATAGGCACTATATTTGACACCTGAAACATGTCGTAACTTCCGGTATTTTAGTTCCTTCTTGGTTGTGACGTCACATCCGCTTGGCCGAATTAGAGTTTACGACTGCAGCACTATGTTGCTTAAACTTCATTGGCGTCTTGTTTCCCACCAAGTTCGGACGCTCACAAGACGAGTTACATACTTCGATTTAATATTATAAAATAATATTATATTAGACTAATTAAGTGAGTATTATTTTCAAAAACCATGGATAATTTAAATAAAATCACGGAAACGAGTGATAGGGCGATACCTGGGCCTTCAACAAATAGAAGGCTGAACCGATCAAGTAGAAGTTCAAGCTCTAGTAGCAGCTCTTCGAGCGATAGTTCTTCAACCAACTCAAGTCCTTCAAAACGAGGTCATAGAAAGAAAAAGGGGGGCAGAAGAAGTCATCGCTCCAGCCGTAGGATACGTAAATTAGCCAAGGAGTTGCGTAACCTACAGAAACAATTTGAACGCAGAAACAATGGATGTTTCGCTAGTTCTTGCCCATTCTCCAGGGTTTACAGCCATAGAAATGAATGAAGAAGTCAAAACATATGACTCTTTACGTCACCTAATACATGCGGATAAAATTTTTGCAGCTCTGACGATGTGTGTGCTTAAACAAAAAGAGTATTTACAAAACACTCTAAGAAAGCTTTTACTGTGGGTTAGAGATGGGAACTTGGTGATTACGGATTTATTTTCAAGCGGTGATTTTCAGAAAAGCTGGAAATGACATGTCTACCTTTCGGTTTAAGCTCTGCTCCCAAAACTTTTGCTTCTCTAATGAACTGGATAGCACAAATACTCAGAGAAAAGGATATAAGGATAGTGGTATATCCCGACGACTTTCTAGTTGCAAATCAAAGCGAAGAGCTTCATCAAAATCATGTAAGCATTGTTATCGAGACTCTTACGAAATTGGGGTGGCTCATCAATTACGAAAAATCGATTCTCACTCCGGTAAGGAACATTACCTTTCTTGGGATTTACTGGGATCCCTGGTTGAACCTGAAATGTCTGCCGAAAGACAAATTCTTAATACTTGCACAAAAAGTGGGTCAGATGATACGAAAACGGCATACGACGCTGAAAGAGTTGCAAAGTCTGGTAGGCTTTCTCAATTTTGCCAGCTTTACCCCAAAGGCAGACTAAACTATCGAGGCCTCTTAAACCTTCTCAATCAAATTCTAAATTCGAACCCCAAAAAATTGCATATGATACCTCACATCGCCTTGGACAACTTGAAATGGTGGCTTTTGAATCACAAAAAATCGTCACCGATTCACATGGCACCACCATCTCATTTCCTAGCAACAGACGCTTCGGACATTGCGTGGGGAGCTCGCTTGGACAATCTGTCGTTGACCGGACTTTGGTCACAATCCGAAAAGAACCTCCATTGCAATCAGAAAGAAATGTTGGCGCTATTATTAATATTATAAAAGTCTTAAAAGGTCATTCTCAGCTCCTGAAACACAGCACTATACTGATTCAGAGCGACAACAAATCCGTAATATCCTATCTCTGTTGCGAGGGAGGAACCAAATCGCCTGCACTCTTAGACTTGACATATCAGGTGTACCAGATTCTCGAAAATTATCATATCCACGTAAAAATGTATTATATTCCGGGAATATACAACTATCATGCCGATCATTTCTCGAGGTTACGTGCAACACCGGAATGGCACCTGTCCCCGGAATGCACAAACAAGATTTTCACCAAATGGGGAATGCCGGTAATAGATCTGTTTGCGTCCAGCCGAGCACATGTGGTAAGCAACTATGTATCTCTAGATCTAACAGACAATCAAGCCCTGTTCCACGATGCCTTCTCACAAATTTGGAGGTACCGTCTAGCCTGGATCTTTCCTCCCCCGTTCTTAATTTCGAAGGTTCTAAGCCACCTCAATCAAGCCCAAGGGATATACTTGATAGTAGTACCACGTTGGAATCAAGTCTTCTGGCACCCGGACATCAAAATGCGTGCCATAGCCCCACCGTTCACACTACACCACCTAGACAAAGTCCTGATCGACACTGCAACGGGACACCATCCTCCGAATGTCAAAGATATGACTCTAGAAGTGTGGAAATGTGGGGGTGGACGGCGATGCTAGATACTTGGAATGACAGTCAATTAAAACTTCTCGAAAAATCCTGGCGTCCTTCAACGCGAAAAGTTTACAGTGCTGCATGGAAACGGTGGCTTACCTGGTGTAATATACATCAAATTAATTATTCTGTGCCTAAAGCAAGTGATTTAGCAAGATTTTTATCTGATCTTTATTTAATTCACAAATTATCACACAGCTCGATTTTGTTGCACAAATCGGTAGTTTCGAATATATGCAACACAGAAATAGGCCGCCAACTAAGTTCTCATGTTTTAGTGAAGCAAATTTTAAAATCGATAAATCTAGACAAGCCGGTTAGCCATGCAAAATCTTCTGTATGGAATATAGACGACCTTGTAGCTCATCTTAAGACAAAATGCATTGATAAAAACAACTGTTTTCAAGTTCAAAGACATACTGCCGCATTGTTATTATTGTTATTACTTTGCTCAGGAAGAAGAATACATGATTTGACTTTACTTACAGTTGATGCAAATAACTGTTTTATAAAAGATAACGAGATCATTTTTTGGCCTAAATTCGGATCAAAAACTGATTCCGCTGAATACCGGCAGTCTGGCTGGAAATTGATAGCTAACCATGATAATGAAAACCTGAACCCAGTTTTTTGGATGAACCAAACAATAGTCATTGTGAACGAGCGTAGAGTGGACGCCCGTTCTAGTTATTTGTTTATGAATATTAGAAACCAACCGCGTCCAGCGTAAGAACTATCATTGCTGGTTGGATTAAATCATTGCTTACGGAAGCCAAAATAAAGGCCACTCCGGGAAGCTTTAGGTCTGCAGTTGCATTAAAGAATTGGCTGGATAATGTTCCCGTTGAAGAGATACTCACCAAAGGCAATTGGCGTTCTCAAAATACCTTTTCAAATTCTATAAGCGAGAAGTAAGGCCTCCGACTAATCATTCCTCTATAACTTCTTTGTTTAATCCAATTACTTGAGAGTAAAACTGATTTATTTATTATATATATATATATATTTATTTTTTGTTTGAAATATAATTTAATTTTTTCTAATAAATTTTTACTATTTTGTGTTCCTTTTATTCTAAATGGATATTCTAAAGATTCACATTGGCGTCCTATATCACATCCACCAGGCGATAACAAACATGTCTCAATTAAATAAGCTCGAATAACAAGTCAAATTAATAGAGGCGTTTTACCTACCAATAAAACCTTATCTCCTTATTCGAAATGAAGCTCTCGGTAATAAGACTAATGAAGTTTAAGCAACATAGTGCTGCAGTCGTAAACTCTAATTCAGCCAGCGTTTCATAACCAAGAAGGAACTAAAATACCGGAAGTTACGAGATTTTTCAGGTGGGAAATATAGTGCTAGTGCCTATCTCTATTAAATAAGCTTCGAATAAGGTAAGTAAATTAATAAGCGTTTTATTGGTACGTAAAACGCCTCTAGCCTACTTGAATATCAACAGTATTAACTTCACACATTGGCGTCGTCGAGATATTCCGCAATGGTATGCTTTAACCATAAGTTGACTTTCAAGCGGCAGACTTAATATCGACTGTGGGATTTTATTATACATGCGCACAGTTTGCCCCATGAATGACCTATTTACTTTTTGTAGACGAAACAATGGCGTCGTAAGTTTGTCCTTATTTCTAGTATTTATTTTATATCTGAATTAGAAGCAGGCCATTATATTCAACGGTTGAGACCGCCTAAAGTCACCTTTTTAAAATATTAATTAAAATGCTACTCTTAAACATACGTTAGGTTTTAACAGCTTGACATTTTTTATCAATTCGCAATCGATATGAACGTCAGTTTTTTATCAAATTTTAATATCAATAATAGAATATCTTGTCTGTTTTTCATTATAAAAAAATCTATTTATATATGTAAAGTACATTAATCTTGCATAAATTTATTCAAACATACACTGTAATCTTTATAAAAAAACGAAAACACGTCGAGGAATAAAAAACACCAATCTGTTTTTAAAATATCCTTAATAAATCTTGTAGCTGAAAACAAACTTCGAGTAACCTTTTAAGCCACTGGCTAACAGGTGATAAATTACTGTCCGTGTGTTACGAAGATAAATCTATTATCGTTAACAGTTCAATTAAATTAAACATACCGACTCTACAGACTACAGTCTTCAAGTTCTTTTAAGTTTGAAAATTATATAATATGTTTATAGAAATTATTGGCACTTGTGATATTGTCTATCATTATTCACATTCAGTCATTATACTTTACACGGAGAAGGTCCAATCAATGGACAAAGTATCATTACTGATCGTGATTTTTCATGTTTCAACTTTCGCGACACATTCTCGACTTCCTAGTGTTGGGACATTTTTATTTTTAAATAAAAAAAAACAGTCATAACATGTTTAGTGAGTTTTTATGTATAAAATAAGTGCTGTTGACAGATAGTCAGTGCTATCTACGTTTAGCTTTTTATTTCTACAGCAAACGTGACAGGTAACGAGCCTGTTACGGCACATCTGATAGGAGATTTTTGCACATGAAAAATCCCGAGAATAATCTCTCGACTTATCTTAAGATATATGACATAGTTACATCGCTAGGGCTAAATCCGTGACTTCGCAACAACATACCCACCGCTAGGTCATCACTACGCACGCTGTATTCAAAAGTGGAGCCATTATCTTCAAAGGGGCACGTATCTTTGGCGTTGGCGATATCAGTCGACGGGGTTTAGGGCCATCAGTCACACCTGTCATCGGGTGTCCAAACTGACAGCGTATTTGGACGCACAGCGTCGGCCGTTCGAGTTTGAACCGGGAATACAAAATTAGCATCTCACAAAAAATGCGCTGTCGGATATGTGATAAAGGCTTTCCTTTCCAGTGGTAGGGCCATGCAACAGTTTCCGTTGTTGCACGAATGCGCATTAAGTGAGAAAAAAAATTACTACACACTTATTTTGTGCTACAATATTTCGTTAATACTTTGAATGGATAGTGTCGTAACAACTATAAAAAAAACAAACAGCCGAAACAATCGCTGATCCTAATAAAATTTGTAGCTACAACAATAATTCAAATAGTGTTTTAATTCGTAATACTCCACCATATACCATCCACCGATGATAAGCCCTTAGGTGTTTTTCTATAACTTTTAATGTTACATGTTAAGATGCAAAGATCGGCACTATAAACTTAAAATAAAATTTACATTGAAAAAGTCGTTCCTGCGTCGAGGATATAATAATTTTACACAACACGGTCACTGGCTTTTTTCCGTTCCTATTCTGTATAGTACTGCTTTTAACTCGCGTGATATGTATATTTTTACGGTGCCGTCAGTGTAAATCTCCTGGAAACAGGGGAGACTGTGTGTCGTTCGTTCGTGAAATCCGCTTCCGCCTCTGACTTGAGCTGGCGTTTCCACGCGTCGAGTACCCGGACGGGTGGAGACGGGTCACGGTGGCTAGTCACCGATTTGTATGGCGCGAGTAAATCACTTTTGAAGTAATTTATGACCGCCCGCGCACTAGTGCTGCGATAGCGCCGCGTGAAATGTCGATACGGCTGCCCGTTTTGGTGATATTTAATTCGCAGCTGCCCGTTATGACGCTCCAGCACTTTGCGTTGGTATGTTAGATATGTTTGTTGCATTAGGAAATAAATAAAGCCGAAATCTCAGCGTGCCGATGTCGAACATGAGAAAAAACATGTTTTTTATTTCAAAAGTTGGCGATCGAGCAGCCGGTTCACCTGATGATGATGTTAAGTGATAACCGCCAAATGCACATCACCAAGTAGTTTGCAGAAGCATTGTGATTTTAAAACAGTGACCCCCGGTTACTTTACTCCGGACACCGGCGCGTTCCGTGGGATATCACGGAGTTCCGTTGACATACAGAAGTTGGCCACCGAGGGGGTTTTAGTGGGTAATAAACCCCAATAACCCTGTTATGTAAGGTACCAACCAAAAAGGCCGTGGTACTTTCCCGCCTCTCCGTTCGTGCAGCAACAGAAAATGTTGTGACCGTACCGTCACATCTTATTAACGTTTGTGAATATAAAAATAAACAAACACAGTTTCCGCCCACACGAATCTAATAAAAATCCAATAGTAGTTTGAGCAGAAAAATCAAACATACGCCACGGTTCGTCGATATTTCAAATGTCCATCGACACACTCTCGGAGCTCTAACGCGGAGCGGTCTAAGCTTTGTTTGACAGCTTTTGTGCTCCCACAAAAAAGAGAAGACACCGCTCGGAGGGGGTAATCAGCGCAACTATTTATCATTTCCGAGCCGCGCCGTGACGGCTGACGTTTAATGACAGCCACGTCCCTTTGATGTGTCAAGCGCTTCACTAATGAGCGGGCCTCAAAGGCCGAATGAATGTCTTCTCACTACGGAAGACAGATGTGGATTATTAAGCTCAGTGTCGCCTCATATTAGGGGACAGTTCTCTCTGTATTAGAATAATATCACTCGACGTGTTATTATTTTAAAGTGCCACGCTATAGAATTGTCCCGGGCCGTTCGTGTAGTGGCACTTTTGTAATTTTTAAAACGCTGACTGGATCCGCGGTAAACGATTAACAGCAGGAACTATATTATGTCCGGCACGCGACTTGTATCCTTATGTGCATTTCTTTAACACAATAGCAATGATGTTAAGTAAAGGTGCTAACATAACATGTACCTAATCAAGTGCAGAGATTTCGTCATGAGTTATTTAATCATAATGTGCCGACTTTAATCAGAAACTTTATCAGTATCAATGGTGAGTATCAATTTTTATTTTATTTACGTGAATATCCGTGATAGCTCAGTATCCGCGCTCGCTTTTAATTCAGTATACTCAAGCAACCTGAGTTCGATCCCCGGTGCCGGCACCAATGAAATTGTGAAGTCTGCCAATACGCAGTGGGCCGCGTGGTGGACTATGCCCTGATACCCTCTGTACAGAGGAGGCCTGTGCCCAGCAGTGGGACATGTATATTCAATATTAAACAAACCAATTTTTTTTTAATTTAGCACGTTTAATCTTGATTTTGATTCCTGATTGCTTCTCAGCTTTGGTGAACTAAATATTAACATTACCCATTCAGCAAAAGAGAATTTTAATTAAAAAGAATGCTAGCTTTGGTAAGTACTTATAAATGAAAACAATTTCGCTTTTAGTTGCTTATCATTCGTTTTCCATAAATCAACTTTTGTTTCTAAATATCAGCCTAAATTTTTTCACCTTTTTCACAACTCTTTAGCTGAATGACTCAGCGATCTGTTTCAAACTTGGAATATACGGCCTCATTTTATTAGTAAAGATATATATATTATAGTTGTAAAAATATATTGCTTTCACGGCCGGTTTCAATGAATATGAACGAAATCTACAGATGGATGGAATTATATAAAAATTCTATCCGTCACTGGATAGAATTATCCATCTGTAGATTTGGTTACTATCAATATTTATTTGACATTAGCTCCATAATACATTAAAATGTCCAGTAACCAAATCTACAGGTAGATAGAATTTTGAAACCGGCCGTAAGTTTTTTTTATAACTAATATGCAAGTAACGGTGAGCCCCCCACCTGTTATTGTCGATTATCGCTTTAGCATCGATTTGAACGTCAAGTTAATAAACGTCATGTGATTATTCACCCCGGATTATTTATCCGGTTTTAAGTTGATATTTATTTAAATAACATTACATAATTAATCGGCACTTCATTTGTCTTTAGTTGATCGAAAATAACAAATACAACGAACGCGCCAGTTGCATTTTTCGCAGGCGTGTTTGCCTAATTCTTGTTATAAAAGTATCCCGTAAGTTTTATTATGTGAAAATGAGGCAACAGAGCTGGCGGTTCATCTGATGCTAAGTGATAACCGCCGCCCATGGACTTACGGTGGTAGGGCCACGCAGTAGCCTCAGCTGTTGCACGAATGGGCAGGCTCGTCCGGGTAAGTACCACGACCTCACAGAAGACCGGCATAAACTGAAAGTGTAATACTTTCGCGTTTCGACTGGTGAGTGACCTCACTCGACACTTTCGAAAATTGAGCCCAATTTTCGAAAAAGGTTGTCAACGCATCTACAAACCTTCGGGAGTAGCAGATGTCCATGGGCGGCGGTATTCACTTAACATCAGGTAATCATTAACATCGTCTGCTCACTTGGCAACTTTTCACATAAAAAAAAATCAACACGCGTAGGGTTGTAGATGCGTTGCCACCTTTTAATAAAGTAAACCCAGACCTCACCCCAGACCCCTCACCCCTCACACCAGACGAAACGCCGAAGTTTAACACTTCGACTTGACTTGACTTCTGTGAGATCGTGGTACTTCCCTCACCAAGTGGGCAATTTTAGTGCGTGGCCATACTACAGTTAATATAGCCTACCTTTTTAAGAGTGACAACATAATTATATGTGAACTTGCTGGTGGTGTGGTTGTATGGACGACGGTAATCAATAAACATCGGGAACCACTTGCTCGTTTGCCCCCTTCTTATAATGAAAGAGGTTACCGTGACCTCGTGCTATCAGACACATGTTTTCAGCTGGTGAGCGTTCTCAACCGTGGTTGGGGGTCCAGAGCGGGACGGTAAATCACGCCCGACTAACGGCGCCCGTTTCGTCCGTGTAATTGATGGCCACGGCACCGCAAGATTTGTGTTTGCAGCGAGCTCGCATGCGCGTGCGGTCGTGCGCTTTTTAACGTACCGTGGAGATTTTATTAAAGTCATTAGCCAGTGAACTAAAATTACCGACATTGCGCGCAGAATTAGCACGCTGAAGTGGAAGTGGGCTGGCCATGTCTCCAGACGCACTGATGATCGCTGGAGTCGTGTTAGAGTGGACACCACGGTTGGGAAAACGAAGTGTGGGACGGCCTGCAGCACGATGGACTGACGACTTAAGAAAGGTGGCGGGCAGCGGATGGATGCGGGCTGCCCAGGACCGGGATAGTTGGCGCACTTTGGGGGAGCTTACGTTCAGCAGTGGACGGCAGTAGGCTGATACTTTATATTGTATTGTGGAGATTTACTGCCCACCCGGTTGCCCAACTGAGGCTTCTTCAGGTGACTTCTTTAAAGAGTGACTACTCTTGACGGTGTATTCAAAGGTGGCAAGGCATCTGCAACTGTATGGGTGTTGAAAATGTCCATGGGCGGCCGTTATCACTTAACATCAGATGAACCACTAGCTCACTATCCACCTGCTCATAGAAAGAACACTAACGCCCAGTTTTTGAAACACTGATGATGATAGAAATTAACTAATCAGCTGTCAAATCGCTTCTCTAATGTCAATTTAGTTGCCAAAAGTGGGTTAAACACTTTGAATTCACCATTCTGCTTATTATTATGCATTTTGCTGCAGTTTACTTGCTAAACCATCGTTTTGGCAACTCAAATGAATGAACGATCATCAGTATCTCAGAAACCGGGCGTTAGCCATATAATAACGTTAGTTAGCCATAACCGTATTAAATACGGCTGTTCTAAAAATCAGTAGTTCCAGAGTGTACAAGTAATATAATATACAATAACGTACGAAAAATATAAAAACTGTATCTTTTTATATAATCGAGTTTTACGATAGTGTTCATTTGCAATTTGCTTATATAAACCGTCTCTACATCACAAAACTTTTGAGAATTAAGTACCACTAAAATCTTCAAGAAATGTTTACAGAAAAATACTTCATGACAGTATGCTAAAGGGTATCGATAATGGTTTTAAGACATTGAATCATTAAATATTCGCACAAATACATAAATTATTTAGATTGGCAGAAGGCTCAGACGTCGTGGCAGTTTTATTGGCCAATTTGAGCAATATATTCCGTACAATAACGTCGAAGAATTTTAACATCAGCTGGCTATCGAACCCACACGTTAACTAGGTACTAAGAAATGTGTAATTTAATAAATTTCGAGTGTACAGGAGAATTTATTACAAAAATATCAATGATTCCCGTAGTAAATTTTCAAGATATAAGTTTTGCGCTTAAGCAATATTCCTATTTAATAGCGTCATGTAAATTTCAGATTCAATACAGTCTACCTGACTGTATTGAATCTGAAATTCTATTTATGATCCATACTCATATTATAAATGCGAAAGTAACTCTGTCCGTCTGTCTCGCTTTCACGCCAAAACTACTGAACCGATTTAAATGAAATTTGGTACACAGATAGTCTAGGGCCTGAGAAAGGACATAGGCTATTTTATAATTGGAAAAATATGTGGTAAAGGGTTGAAAGGTTAGAGAACGAAATTTATTTAAGAGTTTCAACGCGAGCGAAGCCGCGGGCGAAAAGCTAGTAAAGTTATTTTTTTTTTCAGCTTGAGTGCTGAGACTAACATTAAAATTTTCGCTGAGCTTGAGCTATGTCTCAACATAGCCCAAGCTCAGCGAAAGTGAAACCCAACTTCAAATACCGATGCTAACGCTAATTAAAGTACCTGAGGTTTGTTTTTTTTTTTTTGTAAATCGTGTGTTTTGGAAATTACATTTAGATACAAATTACTGAGTAATGAAATATGCACAATATTTTTCAATCTTACCGACGTAATAATAAGAAAATATGAACTGGTGTTTTTACAAAAGAAAGAACTTTAAAAAAAAGGGAAAAAAGAACA